CGGTAGGAGATCATGTCCTTCTGAAGGTTTCACCCATGCGAGGTGTGATTCGCTTCGTGAAGAAAGGGAAGCTTAAACCTCGCTATATTTGGCCGTTCGAGATCCTCGACCGAGTCGGGAACTTAGCGTATCGGCTGGCTTTACCACCAGACTTGTCGAGTGTGCACGACGTATTCCATGTCTCGATGCTTCAGAAGTATGTGCATAATCCTGATCATGTGGTGGACTTCGGCGAACTGCAGGTCGAGCGAGACCTTACCTATGAGGAGGTTCCGGTAGTTATTCTGGATCGGAAGGTCCATCAGCTGAGGAACCGGGCAGTGAGCTTGGTGAAGGTGCTGTGGAGCCGACACGATGAGACCGAGGCGACTTGGGGAAAGGAGGCCGAGATTAGGAGGCGTTATCCGAACTTTGAGTTCTGAGTTCTCCTTTGTATTTTATCGCTTTCTAGTTTTATTTTCGAATTCCGAGGACGGAATTCTTTGTAAGGTGGGTAGACTGTAACGCCCCGTTTGTTTATGAATAATTGGGATTATTGCATTATTATTATTATTATTATTATTATTAATAATAATATTATTATTATTATTATTAGTAAATATTTATTTGTGATTAAATGTCTAATTGTTTTAAATGCCTATTATTATTATATAAATATATATTGCGTGTATTATAAATATACATAATCCGGTTTTATTTATTTATTTCGGGCCATATTCTATTAAATCGGATCGTACGGAAATTCTTGTTGTTACTTTGTATTTTATTCTCGGCCCAATTGGGATTAATTTTCCAGCCCAATGTAATTAAATTTTGGCCCAAGTATGATTATATTTGGCCCAATGCTCTTATTATCTTTGTTTGGGCCCAAGTTCAAATCTGCTTCGATCAGATTTCTTATCTTCTCCAGACCGAGTCTCTCGCGAGAGCTTTCCTCCAACGGACGACGCACGTTTTCCTCTTATCTCATCCTCGTTCCTTTTAAACCTTAGCCGAGAGCATCAAATAATTCATCTCCCTCACTACTCTCCATCCATCTATCTCTGTTCGCAGTTAAAAAAAAAAAAAAGAAAAATCTGTCGACTGATTTAATTCCCGGCCGGCGTGTCTGCTATTGAAACTGGCGGCTAGCAGCAACTTCCGAGTAATTTCATCAAGCCAGGAGTCTTCCCATCCGTTCACGAACCTGCAACAGCCACCGTAAGCTTGAAGTCAGAACCCCCGAGCAGAGTGCTAGGCGTCAGCCTTTTTCCAGAAAAACTCAGACCACCGGAGAACTCCGTTAGTCGTGTTTCAGAATATCAGTTCGTACGCCATCGAAGTCATCATCGTTTTCCGATCACGAACAGCCACCTCGGTCCCATTCGTCGAGGTTACCGTTCGAGCTTTCGAGGTTCGTTCGTCCAACCCGTCCTTCCGAAATTCTCGAAGACGGGTAACCTTTCTTAACCCCCTCAGTTATTGCTGTTCAGAATGATAGCAATCATTTTTGTTCGTTCGTTGAATCGTTTAGTTGGTTT